TAACAAAATAATCAGAGGTCTAGAATACATGACCGTTGAAGAAAGATTGAAAGAATTGGGCTTTTTTAGCCTAGAAAAGAGACGAGTGAAGGGACAAACAATAACAGTCTTCAAATATATCAAAAGTGCTTGCAAAAATCCACAGGAGATAGGACAAGAAGTAATAGCCTTAGATATTAGCAAGGGTAATTTAAGTTGGGCATTAGGAAAAGCTTTCTAACTGTAAAGATAGTTAAGCATTGAAACAGATTACATAGGGAGATTAGGGAATATCCATCTTTGGAGATTTTTAAGAACAGATAAATCAACCCCTGTTAGAAATACTTAGGTATAGCCAATCCTGCCAAGGAGGTGCCTTCTAGGTCTATTTCCCTATTATTTCTGTCTATAAAAGTGATGGCTTCTAGGTGCTACTGTAATGTAACTGCTACTCCTAATTTTGTTTAGAAAAATGTCTGTAAGATCTGGCTTTATGCTGCCACAGTATGTCAGAGCAAGAAGTCCATTGCTTTAATTTGAATATGGGCTACATCCTGTCATTGATCCACATGTGTAAGTTTCACTGAAAACAAAGGGTGTACTGGAAAAAAGTGACAGGATTTGATCCTGCATAAAGTCTGATCTGCACATTGTTAAAGAATTAGTTGAATGACTAATTGGTGGACACATGGATTCCTGTGAAAAGATGGAGATTATCAACATTTGTAAGGCAAGTTATAACAGAAAGAAGGCTTGCAGATAATTTTTTCCCCCTGTGATTTAAACAATGCTAATCAACAAAAAAGTTGTAAAATAAAAGATCATATTTTAAATTTTGAAATCTTCAGACTTTCTTAAGTCAATGGAAGTCAATGAAAAACTCTTCACTGACTTCAATGAGCTATGCTTCTTTTGCCAGCTACACTTCTTTTGCCACATAATACCCCATCATCGTACAAAATGTCCATTGTTTTACAAATATTTCTCATTTCTTTTGCAATATTCTTGTGTAATATAGTACTTCATGATTTCACTTTTGAATTCTCATCCCTGTTCAAAAACTACCATATTTCATGGTGTATACATCAGATTTTGAAGCCTGATTTTTGTGTTTAAAAAATCAAACTCAACTTTATACACCGTGTCACATGAAAAAATCGCTGCAGACTAACCACCAGTTTAGTGAATGCATTACTAATTACCAGAGGCACAGCTTCATTAATTACCAACACTATTTTAGCAAAAACCAAACTTAATTATTGGTACTCGGGATGCTGCCAAAACAAATGAAATACAATACGAAATTCAAGACCAGAGTCATCAATTTTGCTCCCGGTACTCACAACTGTTCTGCAGGCTGTCAGTCTGGTGTGAATGAGAAAGTGGTTCATGACTAGCGAAAAACACTGACAACATAAAGAAGATGCCACATGAGAAGTGTGTAGACCATGGAAAGCAATGCATGTGGCCAGAATTACAAAGAGACATTACCAAATGGGTCAATGATCAGTGGCAGACTGGCAGAATCATAACAAGAAACATCATCTGACTGCAAGGCAAGATGTGGGCTATGGAGAAAGGATTGTACCGGCAACCCAACCTGGTGCTCCCAGTTTATGAAAAGGAATTCTCTCTATCTGGGCCAGCGAACACAGATATCACAGAGATTACTAGCTGACCTTGAAGACAAGATAGCCCAATTCCAGAGTTACATATTGAACCTCCAAATGAAAAATGATTACAATCTCAGCCAAATTAAGAATATGGGTGAAACACCCATGTGTTTTGATATGCCAACAAGCCAAACCGTGGATGTCACTGGCACTAAAAGTGTACTGCTGAAGACTACAGGCCATGAGAAAACCAACTTCACTGTCATGATTGTCTGCATGACTGATGGGACATAACTAAAAACAATGGTCATCTTCAGGAGGAAAGCATTCCCCAAGAAAGAAAAATTCCCCACTGGCATTGTCATTCATGTTCACCCAAAACGCTGGATGGACATGGAACATGTTCACATTTGGATACAGCAAGTGTGCGATACGTGCCCTGGTGTACTGGTACAACCAAAAGCGATGCTTGTGTGGGACATGTTTAGAGCCCACCCCTGCAGCAGTGTGAAAAAGAATCTGTGGCAGCAAAGTAAAACAGACACAGCAGTCATGCCCAGAGGTCTAACACCCATTGTTCGGCCACCGGATGTGTGCTTAAACAAACCATTCAAAGAGTGCGTTTGTGTTGAGTGGCAGACCGGGATGATGAGTGGCCAACATTGTATACAAAAGCTGGAAACATGTGAGCAGCCTCCTTAGCTACTGGATTAACTGGATTATTACAGATTGGAGGGACATTAAACCTGAAACCGTTTCACGTTCATTTAATAAATGCAGGATCTGTAACTGAATGGATGGTGAGGAGGATGATATTCTGTGGCGTGAAGGAGATCAAACAGAGGAAGAAGAGGCCAAAACATCTGATGCTGAGGATCCATGTGACGATCAGATTTCTAACTGTTCAAATTGCGAGGAACTGTTTGGGGCTGACAGTTCTGACAATGACAGCAAATGAGGGTTTTTAATTGTCAATTGTTACATTGTTAATTTCTAGTGTTTTTAAAATGTCTAAATTAATTAAATGAGGGATTGTTAACTGTTAGTATTCTGAGGGATTATGATTATTAGGTGAGGGATTTTAAAATGTTGTATTATGAGCTATTATTGTTATTGAATGAGGGGTTTTTAAATGTTTTGTGACTGCAAGCCACAGCAACTGGTGCTAATCACTGCTGATTAGTGGTTCGTGATGACGATTGTTCGATTGATCGCTCCTGATTTGTGCTGATTGCTAATTGCATGTAACCCATGGCGACCAGTGCTGATTGTACTAATCATGCCGATTACTATTTGTTCTTGACTCTGAATAAACTGCAGGTTGACTTATACACTGGGCCTATCAAAAACCTGAGTTTTTGCATTGAAAAACCAGGATCACCCTATACACTGTGTCAACCTATATACTGTGAAGTACGGTATAGGTTGTGATCACAGCCATTGAAAAATAAATTGTTGGTACCAACTACTACTAATGGGGTAGTACAATAATATATATAATATAAATATTATTGCTAGAGGCAGAGAGTGTGGTTAGGGTAGCTCGGGGTTTAGAATTTCTGAGTTACAGGCCTGAGTTATAGACCATTGAAGTCCATGGCAATGTTTCCATGTCAATGGGCATTTAACTAGTGAGTTTTATACCCAAAGGCAAATCACTTAGGGTCTGATTCTACCCTCACCTCAATGAAATTAATGGAGTAAAATCTCACCTTAAATCTTTATGCTGTATCTTTATTAGGGGAACTAACCAAGAGATCTTACCATTGTTAACACTAACTGCACAAAACCAGATGTAGGGATCTGGAGGGATTCCTGCATTTACAATACAATCCCAAAATGTAGCCATGAGAATCAACAGAGCCGGCTCACACCTTGCTTCAACCTACTACATTGCCAACCCTGTGACAAAGACAACAGAGTCCCTCTTGTCAGGCTTCGCAAGAGATCCAGATGCCAGTTGTGCCCTCTCATCAGCACAGAGCGCATCATCTCTGAACCAAATAACAGGGATTAAATTATCCTGTGTTCATTCACCTGCTAACGTCATACATGCCATCACCTACTTACAGTGCCCCTCTCCTGCGCAGGCTGCCCAGAGAGGACTTTCCCTATGTGAAAGAATGAGCTGACACAGATTTGACCTCAGCTCCAGACAGACAGGCAAGTTTGCGACACAACATTTCAACCTCCACCGGCCTCAGAGCGGCCGCTCTTAAACAACAAAACTTTAAGAACCAGTCTGAATGCAAAATTGTGCAACAAGAAACCATCCACAGGCCAGGTTGTAAGTGTGGTCTCAACAGAAATTATGGATTCTTATCCCATTACTTGGGCTAGTTTTATAACTTTTGCCTCCCTCAGTGGGTTAACCTCTTTGTTTATTCTCTTTGATCTTCTCAACCCACCTTCCCCTCTCTCTGCATTCCTCTCCCCCATCCTTTTCTTCCCTCTCCTGCCTGGGCGACAGCCTACCTCGTCATACTATGACTGGGCTTGCAGAGAGCCAGGGGTACTTACTAAGTAAGAAAGAAAGAAAGATGCCTTGAAATCTTTATCTTGATTTCTTTCTTATTAAGTACCCCTGCTCTGTGCAAGTCCATTCACAGGATCTGAGGAAGCAATGAATGCCTATGAATTTTTGAATGAGTTGGTCTTTGCGCTGCCTTCAACACTGGCTGGTTTCAGTTCCCATGCCTCTGACCCTATAGCCCTAATGTTGCAAAACGTTTAAACACCTCATTAAAAGGCAAAATCAGGAGAGCCGAGGTGTTTCATCGGACTGGGAGCCACATCTTCCTGGGCGCGAATACAAATAGGGCCCTGCTTGATTTTGTGCCCCATTTCCAGCACACCTGAAGGAAAACCCCCGAGCAGGGAGAGGGTCCGGGGACGGGTGCTCGCCGAAGCAAACAGCGACCCCGAAGCAGGCTGGCTGGGCCGGCCCGCGTGCTCCGTGGCCGGGGGCGATCGCGGCGGCGCTCCGAGCCCGGTCGCGGGGAGGCGGAGGCTGAGGCTGAGGCGGCTCCAGCCGCGCGC